TCATCCTCACAGAACTGACAGCGGGAGGCAGGACAGTTCTGGATGGAGGGTGGGAGCTGCCCGAGGTTAACAAGCAGGTGATTTCTTGCTAGAATGAAGAGCAGTCCTAACAATAAATCACTGTCTGTGTAAGGTAGGACAGTGGGGGGGGGGGGCAAAGTTAAAGGAGCTAAGGACATCAATGTGAAGGGGGGGTTGAGGACAGTAATATGGGGGGCTAAGGACTGTGGTGTGTGGAGCTGAGGGCATTAAAGTGGGAGGGGCTGAGAGCAATAATGTGGGGGGCTGAGGACAGTAACGTGGGGGCTGAGGACAGTAATGTGGGGGGGGGTCTGGGGACAGTAATGTGGGGGGATGATGTAAAAAGGAGCAGAGTACTCTTCCATGAAGAGGGCAGAGGACAGTACTGTTGGGGGCGGGGGGTAGATGTCAAGGAAGTGTGAGAACACAACTGTGAAAGGGGTGGAGGGGGGGTGATGTAAAGGGGGAGCTGAGGACACTCAAGAAGAGGGATCGTTCTGTGAATGAGGAGGGGACTCCCATGTGCAGTGGGGATTGAGGACACTGATATGAGAACAGGTTCAGATCTGTACATATGCATCTAGTGCACACGTTGTGGGTAGGTCAGCACTACCTGCTAGAAACCTAAAGAAGTCCCGACCCCTTTTTTTTCAAAATCATACCGCAGCAACAAGTTGTTTTGGCGCACACAAAAATGCACCACACAGGCCTACATGAGATTTGGACCTCTGATTCATGCAAATTTTACTGCCCGGACCTTGGTGAATTATAATTCAATACCCCTGAGCTTGAGCAACAAAACTTGCCTGCTATTGTATGTAGCACTACCCCTTGTAGTAGTTGCAGTAGATTTGGGTTCTGCCTATACTCCTGCACAGCCAGGCAACACGCATCCTCACAAACTTGCAACCTGGAATCAATATTCAGTCCATTAGCTTGTTTTTTGATGTTTTATTTGGGGGATTTCAACTTGGATTGGGTAAGGGGTGTATGGGATGCCCAATGGAACCGAGAAACAAAGGACATTTTCCTGAAACTATTTACAAGTCTTTACAACAAAACAGTCTCTTTTGAAGAGTTAGCCAGCATCTCCTGTAGTACCACCCCAGACCCCAGATAACTCCTCTTCTTTAACCAGCTGTCTGGAGGAATCCCTGAGCAGGGGATCCAGTGTCTGCCACACATTCAGTGAAACAGTCCTGGGTGGCAGCCTAATTCAGCTTCCCACTAGAGTAACTCCTTCCTGGCCCAGGGGGTGCAGCTCTACTCACTCAGTCCTTCTCCTGTGCGGCTGGTGGGTTGGTGGTTGCTACCAGGCCTTTTGCTGGGCTGCTCCTTCCCTGCTACAGAAGGGGTCCTCACTCTGGGGGCTGTGAAAGCCTGAGCTTTCCTCCTTCCAAGATCCACTGCCTGTATGTGAGCCCCTCTCCATCTGGGCCCCCTCCCAGGCTCCTGCCTTCAGCCTCACATCCTCTCTGTCTGCCACTCAAACTCTCATGCTGCTGAGCAGGCTCTCTCACTTTTTAAGGTTGTCCTGGCCCCTTTCCATCCTCCTGTTGGGGTTTGGCCAGGATCCCTCAAAAGTAGAGAGTAGCCACTCCTCAGATCCACCAACTGCTTTTAGACCTTTCAAAGTTTTCTAGAGCAGGGGGAAATTCCAGAGGGCTGGTCTGCAGAGCCTCTCAGCTCTGACCATAATTTGATCCCTGCTAGCTATCACACCCAGGCTGCTACTCAGCCCTCCTCACTAACAATTGGAGTGTAGCTCCCCCTAACTGATTGTACATATTCTCTCCTAAGTTCAACACACTTAACACATAGTCTCTCCAATTTCTTTAAACCTTTCAAAAAAAAATAATAGTTTGTCTGCTCTGCGAAAAACTGCTCTGTTTCTGCTTCGACCTAAAAATCAGTTGAAACTGTGTGTATTTTCTGTGTCTTTTTAAGGTTAAGAAATAGGTTCAGTAATTGTCGGACAAAGCAAGATCTGGTGAATAGTGTGGATGGTCTATGCACTGAAACCCTAAATCCTTCAAATCAGCCAGTGTCTTGCCTGCCTAGTGTGAGGGTACATTGCCTTGCAAAAACAGTACACCCCTATCCTCCACTATGGTTCATTCAATTACCTGCACAATTGAAAAAATAGAGCTCTAATCCTCCAAATTGACATAATATCATATGAAATAACACTATTTACAACTATAATAACACAATTGATGTTACATTGTGGGACAGGGATCAGGCTGTGAACTTTTCAGCACTACCTCCTGGGGTCCTCCTACTGAGAGGACACTGATGGAGTGCACACATGTGGTATCAATGATTTTAATATACTTTCGGGTGTCAGGAGCTGAATCACCTGCTGGTGGTACGTTGCTTCCCAGAGCGGATGTTTGTAGTTCCAGTGTCCACCAGCCAGTTTCTCTCAGCAGCCATCCGTTTCTAGTAATCAGTTCTTACCTGATGGCTGGCTGCTGGGTGGGTATTTAGGTCTCACTTTGTTATTACACTTTGCCTCAGTGTTTTCCTGGGCCTGCCCTGTACCTGTATCCAGTTTTGCTTTTGCTTTGCCTGCCAGCCAAATACATGCTTGCTGCTTTATCCTGAGCCTGATTGGTTCCTGTTCCTACCTTGTACTTGTGTCCTGCTAAGCCTGCTCCTGATCTTGCTCATGCCTTGAATCTGTGCCTTGCTACCTCGTATCTACACCTCTTGTTCCTGATATCAGTCCTGGTTTTCCATCTGTACCCTGCATCTCCAGTTTACTCTGCTTATCAGTGTTCCCTATTTTGTACAGATTGTATATAGGTAGGTTGTTAGGCTTTTGTTACTCTGTTAGGTTTCTAGTTTGGCATTTTGTTATATGGTTGTAGTTCACTTGTATCTTCATGTTTGCTTGTTTTTTTCTTTTTTTTTTTTTTACTCCTAATTAATTTACTTTACAATATATAATCTGGTCTCAGTTTAGTGCAGCCACACAAATCTGGCCATCTCTACTCTTATTTCCCGACATCTGGGCCTTTCTAATATTACATATATAAGCTGAATGTATATTGTAAAGATGTTATAGAACATTTTGTGTTGATATTTGAATTATAACTGCATATTTGCATAATTATAGGATCTCACCTTCTTATATTCTCCTTACGAAATGAATTCTTGCTCATGAAACGCGGCAAGATTTTTCAACACCTTCCCATCGCTGTCAAATATATATAGATAGATAGATGTTGTTGATACTTTGCAATTACGTTTTATGATGGCATAATCAATGGGTTGCAGATGGAGGGGTGGTAGTCGTTTGGTGTTCACACAATGTCTATCATATGTTTTATGATATTTTAAAGTGGTTCTATAGTCAGGCTTTTTTTACCTTAATGCATTCCCTGCATGAAGGATAACTCCCAACACTACCTGTCCTACCCACCTTAATCACTTACCTGACTCCTGTCACTGCTCCAGCACTGTCTCAGCTGCAGCATCACTCCCCTCACTTCATGGTCTCACAGGAGTCAATGACGGCATTGGAGCCATAAGCTGCAACTGCTATTAGTCAAACATCTGTGAGGAGGGAATGGAAGCTTGGCTTACTAGCGCTGTGTGTGTCTATGGACATACACAGCACAGCTTGGAAGTGTTGGAGGCACCTGATGGAGGGAGGAGGGGGCAGAGCAGGTGGGGGACTAACAAAAGAGGAGGTAAAGGAAATATCTGAGCAATATCTTTGCAGAGAGTAGGTTAGTTTAACTTCATTTTTATTTTATACAAAACAACCTTTAATATCCCTTTAAGTGGTTATTAACACAATGAAAAAAGTTTTAGAATGAATAGGACTACAATATATACAGTATATAGATTTATTTTATTTTTTTACCTTAAAAGTCCCATATGGCTGCCTGATATACGAGATGTATATTTAACAAATCTTTGGACTAGATTTAGTCCTCATGCGCACTGGACATTTTTAAAGCAGCTGTTGTTGGCTTTTGACATTTTTTTTACAGCCAGTAAACCCCCCAGCATGTTGTCCTATGTGTCCATGCACACATAGACTGGAATCAATGTCTTTTGGCAGGGACATTTTTTGGCTGGAAAAAAACCCAGGACTAGTAGTGGGTTTCTACAGGAGTTTTGTAGCTGTAAAAACGCTCTAACACTGAAAATCGCAGCAAAACACGGTAAAACGACGCAAAATGGCGTTTTTGGACTTTTTATGACCCCCAAAAACTGTTTTTAAAAAACCCCACCAAAAAACGAAAACGCTGCAAAACACGGCAAAACTCTAATGCAAAAACACTAAAGCTGAAAAACTCACATTTTTAATGTGACTTTACACAGCTAACATTACCAGCGTTATCAAAACACCCAGCGTGCATGGAGCCTCTGCCTTTAACTGTTGGCTTGGAGTTTAGCTTTAACCTCCTCGGCGGTACGATTCTTTCCGATTTTTTGTGCTGAAAGCGGTACCATTTTTTTGCATAGAAATATGTAGTTTTTTATTGTAGGCTGTAATTTTTAGGAATAACTCACTGAAATCTGTCCGAACAAGAGTCTATTAAACATCCCGGGTATGATAAAATTTGAAACACGAAATCATAAATTATAATTTAATAAATAATCATAAAAAATAATAGTATAATAATAATCAATTTAATTCAATAATATAATCAAACCAAAAACACTGAAATTTGAAATACAGAGGCAAATTCGCACATCGCTGAGCAAAGTCGCAAAATTGTTTCTGTGTCTGATGACGAATTTCCCCACGAATCATTATCACTCAATTCTGCAAGTGGTTCTGATTTACTATCGCTGTTCTAAAACCGCTTTTGATGTAAAGGGACGCTTTTTGGATGCCATGGACTTTTCTAAGTTTCCAGGCAGAAAGAACAGTCAAAATGCAGGCAGGGCACAGGACAAAGCAGTAGGGACAAAATGTATGTGAAATGCATTGAAACAGCAATGACAGCAAAAATGAAATTTTTTTAAAATTTCAAATTTCCCGCCGGTTCCGGCGCCCGTACGTCCCGACGTCACAGGGACCGGAACACAAGCCAGATGCTGGCATCGGCCGGAGGAGATGGCCGGGGACGCTGCAGGGGACACATCGTGGGAGCGAAGGACAAGGTAAGTGCTGCAGGGACCCCCGGAGAACGCCGCATGGTAAGCCCGAGTGTAGCTCAGGGTTACCAATCTTGGTACTGAAATTTTACCTTTATATATACCCAGTGACTACACTGGCCTCAGGTATTACACAGAGCAAACCCTCCTACATAAGTTGTACCTATCTATCTGCAGTTTTCTCTTCTCTACATCCATACAAAGTTCAGAATTTATACAGCTTGCCTAAGCTTCCAGAAAGAAGGGGCAGGTAACTGAAGTTATACTCTGCATGGCTAAGTGAGAACTGATTAGGGAAGAAACACACATCCTGTGCACAGGAACAGAGTTGAGGCTTTCAACTACAGGCTGTGTGCTGGAGCTCCCTCCCATGCCACCTTTGTACTTGGTGTCAGGAAAGCTTCTCAGAAGTGACTCATGAAGATAGCAGAGGAACGAGGCAGCAGACAGAAATTACACTTAGTGCTCTGGATTGAGACAAGTACACACTATAGAGGGATATGCTTTGTTCATATTTCATTTCAGAGGATTAAAAAACATTTTACATTTAATATAATCCTCTCTTACTTCCATGCCTCCATATGAACAGTATAGCCACTTTTGCCTTGAGTGGGGTGTTTGCGTTGGCATGGTGGAGAATCAATGTAAGTCACCTTTCTTGATAAATTTCTCCAATGGTGAAGACTGGTCCTCTTAGAGTATTACATACTTCTCATTCAAAAGTCCAATGTAGTTCTTGAGTTATAAAGTTCACTAAAGCTTTTGGTTTTTAGGCAGATATTAGAAATTGGCAAATAACTGTATGTGGTATTGAGCATCGTCTGTTGTCACACCTTTAGTAAGTGGACAGACACTGCACAGGTAATATCTCTGGCAAAATAGTCCAGCCAAGGAATCTTTCGTCTTCTTTATTTCCAGTATCTTGTCAGTTAAACTAGAACAGTAATTCCGTATTTTTCTCCATACTACAGTCTCACAGGCAATGTACTATGCCTGGTTTACTTCATCCTGTAAATTTTACAGCATAAAACAAAACCCATCTCCAGTAAAGGCACTTTTTTATGTGAACTGAAAACCTAATATTGATTTTATTTTAACCGGTTAAGCTCCAGAGCCATTTCCTATTTCAGCTATGGGCCTATTACTTTTGCAATAACTGTGTTATTACTTTGGATGCAGAAGTGTCTTTGGAACAATTGTGGCTTTTTTTTTTTTATGCTGGTGTTCTCTTTCAAGACTTTTTTTTTTCTAGTCTCTTTGAAGGCACAAAAAAAATGTTAAAACAAATTGGAAAAATGTGGACAATGAACACCAGGAGAGCGGGTAAGTGGGGCCCCTTGGGGGTAAGTGAGGGAAAGTTTTAACTCTTTCTTGCAATATCCAAAATTGAAAAATAAAGCTTTGGCTATAGATATACCTAAAATTAAACTTTGAAAAAAAAAAAACAATATTGTCACATTTGTAGGTTCAATATTTGTGCATTTGAAATGTAAGCGACCCACATTACCTTCACTGTATGCAGTGTACTAGACACAGGTGTGTAATATTCAGAGGCGGAAGGTTGCTGCTTACAGTGGTGTCAGAATTAATGAAAGTTAGGCTTTTTACCTAAAGCCCCATACACACAATGAGAATATCGGACGAATCATCATCTGGTTTTTTGCATGCTAGTTTCATATTGAAAGTGAAGAGGTTACTAAAGTTACAAAAATTCTTGTACGGCAGAATAAAAATTTGAAAGTAATGTAATGTATTGTATTTGTATTGTATTTTTGGAAGAAAACTGTACTGATTAAATGAAAATCAAACGAGCTAGTATCGCACGAGAAAAATCTTCGTGCTTATTCCTTCGAATGATTTTGGACTAAAGCTGTGTACTAACAATCAGATTATCGTACGGTTGCTTTGAATGCGGCATTTTTCATATGATTTTCTCATTGTTTGTACTAGGCTTAACACAGCAGCATCCACCAACTGGACGCACATCATTAGAGGTGATTATTTTTTCCAAAGAAAATGTACAAATATTTGTTTTTTATCCCTGAGTTCAACTTTATAAGCAAGTGGTTATGGTGCTGGCCACCATGGCAAGCAGGGCATTCCAAACTGACAATTGGATGTGCATTCCTTTCTCCAGGACATTCTGGGCTCTGAAGGATTCTGCAATGTTTACTCTACAAAGCACTTAGCCATTCATAAAATGCATGTCATGATATGGGGCCTGTGGTGTCCAATGGAGTGCTCTTTGCATAACGCATAATAATGATTAGAGAACGTCATGATTTTTTGGCACGTCATGTGATCAGACTCCTATATCTAATAAGATATGTTTCATATGGCCAATAGCATTAGGTAACAGAGCTCTGAAATTAGGAGGGATGCTCTGCTGATTTCTATCCTCCAATCGTGTGCAAGCAAAAATGCTGTTTTGTTTTCATTTTTCCTTCCATGTAATTGGGTATTCTTTGCAAAGTGAAGCTTTATCTCATTTACTAAGGTCTGGAGCAAGTACACTTCCAGTGCACAATTTATTTGCCTTTAGTAAATCACTCTCCTGGTGTTTTAATTTGTTCTTTTTACAAATCTTCAGGGGAGGGTTTGCCAATATACTTGATATGTCACCAAAAAGTTTAAAACCAGATGCCATATCTTCAGGCCAAAAGTTCTCGGCGGCCATCAGGGACAGCATATTTACATACCATTGGGGATATTGTTGAAGGAATACTCGCTGATGCCCATCTGCTGCAAGGATATTGGAACTATTTAATTCTATTTGGGTGGCTGTTCCCTTGCACTGATTTTGGGCATTTTTCTGGTTCCTTGTGTGCACAGACACTGTCCCTGATGGTCACTGAGAGCTCGGTGTCCCAGAGATATGGCATTTGCTTTCAATCTTTTTGGCTGAGGTTTTTGTGGCAACACATCTAGCATATTGGTAAACCCTTCCCTGAAGAAGAATTGTAAAAAGAACAACCTAAAACATATTGGGGTAGATTTACTAAAACACTTGCACTCAGAATCTGATGCAGTGCTGTGCATGGTTAGCCAATCAGCTCCTAACTTCATCTTGTCCAATTAAGCTTTGGCAATGAAACCAGGAGGCTGATTGGTTTCTATGCAGAGTTGCACCAGGCTTTGCAATCTCCAGTTTCAGTAAATAACACCAATTGGGTTTCTCTGGTTGGGGAACATAATGTGGAGACATTCCTACAATGGGTGTATTCTTGTAAACTTAATCCTAAAATTAATCCTTGCCAATTATATGGGTATTGCAACTATATGAAAGATTTATCACTCTGCCAAAGATTGTAATTGCTTTAACCCCTTGGCACCGCCACCTCCAGGCCCTTTAAGTGGTTTGTGGGGTTAGGAGGCGGGGCTGAGTTTAGTGATTGGCTATCACAGCGGTCACATGATCGAAAAAAGTCCCGATCACAAGTAGCTATCGGGACCTTTCCACGAGGTGCCAATGAATGTGTCGGTAGCATGCAGGGTGCACGCTCTCAACAAGTGTGGTTTTTTTTGGGTACGCAAATATGCGGTCTCTCGCCATCAAGCTCCAGCTGCCGATAGGTTGCATATTTGCGTACGGTCAGCGCCAGCAGGTTAATGTGAATTTATTTTGAATTGAATACAATAAAATATATAATATTTTATTAATTCTGTTGTTTTGACATATAAAGTCCATGGGAGTCAGTACATGTACATATAGGGCTGTTGCCAATATATAACACTCAGTCTGATCAGTCATTTTGGGCCCATTCACACCCATGCATTGTGGAAACTCTAATCCATTTTCAACAGCACTCCAACTCACCAAGGGCTCGTTTATACTTCTGATTTGTAAAATCCTATGGTAGTCCAGAATTTAGGGGGTTAAAACATGCAGTGAAACTACAATACCTCTTCACTTCCTGTCATTTGCTCTCTGAAGAGTAAAGGAATACCCCTATGTTGCAGTATAATGCAAGGCATGGTAATGGACTACCATTTGTTGTGGTGTGCTTTGTTGGAAATAATGGGGTATGTCCAAAGTTTGGTCTGTTCTGGTGCAATGACAGCTATTCAAAAAAAAAAAAAAGAGCAAACACAAGTAAAAAGGGGCACTGGGCACATATCTTCAATAGGTCATTAAAATGATCATGTGGCATATTGGCTCCAGCTCTGCAGCACAAAATGGGGAAAAATCCAGAGTTGGGAATCTGTGCACATACAGTCCAAATAGAGCAGAAGACAAAAGCCCAAGAGTCCAACATTTTTAGGACTCTTTCACACCAGAACACAATTTGGGAAACCTGCATTTACTGCACCATGTTCAATATGCACTGGCTGTGTGATTTGCTGAGAATATCTATATATTGCTACTAATATTTCAGACACAGTGCATTTGCCTGCACCACATCAGTACCATGCAATGTTATTTATATTTGTGTGACCCATTGCGATTTCAGGACATTCAAATAAACAGAGTAGACTGCATGGACTGCATTTCTGTTCGATTCAGGTGTGAACCAGCCCTTTAAAGTGGTAGTAAACTCTTCTTTAATAATTTTTACCTACAGGTAAGCTAATAATAAAGCTTGCCTGTAGGTAAAATTAATATCTCCTAAACGTGAACAGTTTTGGAGATATTAGCCCTTTCTGATAGCCAGTGCATGCGCTCTGAAGGAACGTCATACCCATACCGTTCCTTCACAGCACTGTGCTATGCCCCGATACTCCGTGACGTCATCGCGGCTTGGCCAGTCAGTCGGCCAGAACTTGTGAACCTGGAAGGAAGACCAGGTGAAGATGGAAGTCCCGGGGAGCCATGACAGCACTCCGCTGGAGGGCTTAATTTCAAGGTAAGTCCTTCATAATGTGCTAGTATGCAATGGATACTAGCACATAATTGCTTTACCTTGCAGGGGGTTATTTTTTCTTTTCTTTTTTTTATGCACTTTACTACTGCTTTAATGATAAAATAGGTTCAGAACAGAAACAAATCCAACACACTCTCCCTTCACCAAGGCTTAGGAATTTTGACTGTGCTTAAATAGACTCAGGTCATAGCAAATGCATTCAAATAATAAGCTGTCTTAATACAACATGC